CTCGCACCAGTGGTCGTAGTTCGCGTCAGCGTCCTCCTCCTGTCCCTGGCACGCACCGGATGTCTTTGCGTCCGTCCACTGCTCCTCTGCGTGCCCCTTTGCCCTCTCCTCCTGAGTCCTCTCTTCCTGCGCTTGCCGACCCTGAGTCGGACTCTCTACGTGCTGCCAGTCCTACTGTCACGCGTCTCCTTGCTACTGTCGTCACTGACCCCTCCTTTGAGTCCACCGCTGCTAGTCTTGTTGCTGAGTCTATGTCTGTCTGTCCTCCGTCCGTCGGGGGTGAGTGTGCTCTTGGCACGGACGTCCTTGAGGACAGGCAGGAGGAGTTTCAGTGTCTGGCTGCTGCTTCACCTCATCTCGCGTCTGTATTGCTTGCCCCTGAGGGAGACCCGGATGCACTAGACATCCCGACTCCGCGCTCTTACGCGGAGGCCGTAGAGGGTCCCTACTCCTCTCAGTGGCAGGCAGCTATGGATGAAGAGATGGCTTCCTAGAAGTCCACAGGCACCTACATTGACGCGGTTCCCCCACCTGGGGCGAACATCGTCAGTGTGATGTGGATCTTCAGGGTGAAGCGGCCGCCGGGCTCTCCACCTGTCTTCAAGGCGCGGTACGTGGCTCGTGGCTTCAGTCAGCGGCAGGGAGTTGACTACTTTCAGACCTTCTCTCCCACCCCGAAGATGACCACTCTTCGGGTGCTGCTGCACATAGCCGCTCAGCGCGACTATGAGCTCCACTCTCTTGACTTCAGCACTGCTTTCTTGCAGGATAGCCTGCACGAGGAGATCTGGCTGCGCCGTCCACCTGGCTTCACTGGGACTTTCCCTCCTGGCACCCAGTGGAGCCTCCGACGGCCAGTCTACGGTCTCCGCCAGGCACCGGGTGAGTGGCACGACACACTGAGGACTACGCTTGCGGCTCTTGGGTTTGCTCCCTCTACTGCTGACCCGTCGTTGTTTCTGCGCACCGACACTTCTCTGCCGCCGTTCTACATCCTCTTGTACGTCGACGACTTGGTCTTTGCCACAGCGGACACTGCTGGACTCGCCTACGTAAAGTCCGAGCTGCAGAAGAGACACACGTGCACAGACCTAGGTGAACTGCGCAGCTACCTTGGCTTGCAGATCACTCGGGACAGAGCACGCCGCACCATTACCTTGACTCAGTCACACATGGTGCAGCAGGTCCTTCAGCGCTTCGGCTTCACGTACTCCTCGCCTCAGGCCACTCCTCTGCCTACTCGCCACTCGCTCTCAGCTCTGCCTTCGGATGAGTCCGTAGAGTCGAGTGGCCCGTACCCAGAGCTTGTTGGCTGCCTCATGTACCTGATGACCTGCACACGACCTGACCTTGCATACCCTCTTAGCATCTTGGCACGCTATGTTGCTCCTGGGAGACACCGACCAGAGCACATGGCTGCAGCGAAGAGGGTGTTGCGCTACTTGTGCAGTACGTCGGGCATGGGGCTAGTGCTTGGAGGGCGGAGTCCAGTGGTCCTCACTGGGCACGCGGACGCTTCTTGGGCTGACGACCAGGCTACGCAGCGGTTGTCGCAGGGTTACACCTTCAGTCTTGGTTCCGGCTCTGTTTCGTGGTGGGCTACTCGCTCGTCTTCTGTTCTCGGCTCCAGTTGTGAGTCTGAGATCTACGCCGGGGCCATGGCTGCTCAGGAGCTTCGCTGGCTCACCTACCTGCTGACTGACCTTGGAGAGCCGCCTCGTTCTCCTCCAGTGCTGTACGTAGACAACAAGGCCATGCTGGCCTTGTGTCGAGAGCAGCGCATGGAGCATAGAACGAAGCACATTGCTCTCCGCTACTTTCTTGCTCGTGAGCTGCAGCAGCGTGGTCAGTTGCGACTTGCGTACGTGGCCTCTGAGGCCAACACTGCTGATGTTTTCACCAAGGCACTTCCGCCTTGTGATCAACAGCGTTTCTGTACTCAGCTGGGACTTGTCCCAGTCTTGACTCACTTGCTCACCTCTTGACCTTACTTGTACTCTTGCATATATATATACCTGCTCTTCCTTGTTTAGACTTATATATATATATGTCTCCTCCTGCATGTGAACTGGCCTTGTGGCCTTGATCTTGTGCTCAGACTGTGTGGTGACGTTGTGATCCACCCTGAGCTTGCTTTGCTTTGCTTTGCTTGACTGGTCTTGTGACCCCTTGTTCTCCCCCACTTTGCCTATGGGGGTGTGTCATAATATTATAGCTTTTGCTTTTGTGTAGGCTATAGTGGGGTATCCCATAGGGGGTACAACCCAATTAGGGTTAGTACTTGTACCCACTTCACTCATAGTTCATTTCATTCTCGTTCTATTCTTCTCAGAACCCGGAGTCATGGGTCGACCGGGACCGAATTTCACGGAACCTAGCCCGCATCGACGCCGCGGATCTCGCCGTAGAAGTTCCCCAGCTGGCTTCGAAGTACACCGTAAACCGCTGAAACAGTTGGCGAGCAGACGTTCAACCGTCTCCCACCGTTGGAATAAAACCCCGAAAATCATGGTTGTTGAAGCAGTCCCGAAGTATTTTCCGCCGCATAACCCCGACGTTTCCGCCGTTGACCCTGGTACTCCGACGTTCACCCGTCTTTGTACCCGTCGAAATTACTTAGCGAATCCCAGGTATCCTTGGCGATACACCGCTCGCCGCGCCTCCATGTAACAATATCAAACCCTTTCGGGGGTCTACCGAATAGACTCCGAAATTCGCGGTGGATTGGTGTACGAGCTTAACCTTTCACTCTGGAGATCTGCTGGAGCACCCACAAATTTCCCTCCATTTTTGTTTTTGGCTTCACCCCCCGACAATTTTGCTTGCCGCCGTTCACCCAGCGTCCGCTTTTGTCGGATGAGGTTTATCTCCGTGTTGCCCGCAATTTTTCTGACATTCGGTGAAGGCGCGAATGCAATCGTAGCCGGGTCATGTTTATCGGATCAAACAGTCGGACCGGCCGCTTCGTTGCCCACCGCGTCTATCGCATTTAAAACTCCACAGCTTCGGAAAGCCCCTTCTTCGCCGCTACACCATGTCGGGTAGACCGTTGAATTAGGAGAAACTCCGACAGCTGCACCAACTGCTTCAGCTCCGACTTTTTTGGCGGGGTAACTGCCGCCGATGGTCCGGTTTTGTCGGGGCCGGGACAGTGTCGCTCCCATAAATTTTCTTGTACGCCCTGCCGTCGAACCAGCGTCACCCGCGCCTTTCTAACCAGCACAGGGCTAAAACACAGGGCCCCACCTTTGGATCCAGTGGCCAATAGGACTTACACCTTGCCTTCGAGGCCTTCTGGGCGTGAGGTATGTGAAACGTTGGTAGACTTTGGCCGGTAGGGAGCTCCTTCTGCCACCGCCGCTTAGCCGCAAATCTCGGCCTCAGCAAAAAGTCGTCGCAGTAGGTCGTTTTCTCCCCTCCTGAAGCTCGGAATCCGTTTCTCTCGCCAGACCCGAATTTGTCGCAACTCCGTTTATTGTAGCCGGTAGACCTGGCGAAATTCGCGGGTCTAGTCGCTGCGGCAAACCGTTGTCCTCGTCGGTGTACTGCCCCGTCTGCGACACAACTTCCCTTGATCAGGGGGAATCTGTGCCGCCTGAAGTACAGTGTCGGCTGCTGCTGTTGCTCCGAAGATTTCGGCCGACTTTGTTGCAGGCGCAGAAGTGACCCTAACGAAAACAGTCTAGTCGTACGCGGCTTTTTCCGAACTTTTCGGCGGTTTGAAAATAACTTCCGTCCCACACTGTGCCGCTCCTGCCGAAAACGCCAACGACGCACCCTCCTGTAGCCACACCGGCCACACCCGGACTGGAACGACGGTAGACCCCCGCTTTCTTCGGGTAGTTGTCACGCCGTCACTCCGCGCCGCTGCATTTTCTGACGCAAATCACCATGCGCCTGGCTGCTCGCACAGCAGTTGTTTTCCACGTGCTGCTACCCGAAATCTTCGTGCACAGTGACCACGATCGTCACTTGTCGAAGACCTCCAACGGACTGATGCGCGATGTGACGAAGATGCTCGACGCCACGTGCTGCATGCAATCCGTTCCGAAATTGTCGCGCGCAGTTGTCGACCACATGCCGACGCAACTCGCACGACGATCTTGCTTCCGACATCTTCGGACGTGCACTGACGGAGATCCTGTCGACGTCAGCTGCCACACAAATTAACTCCGAAAATGCCGAAACGAATACTGTTAACTCACGCATTAACTGCGACGACAGCAAAAGCTGTCCGCCACCCGGGGGGAGGGAGGCCACGGTCCATCTCGACCGTCGAGGGCAAGGATCCGTCGGTGCAGCAGGAGCGCCCGTAAAAACATGGCCGTTAGGAGCAACTATCCGTTCTCCTGGCCGGCTACTGCGTTGCTCCTGTCACCACGGCATCCTTCCCTGTCCCCCCCCCGAGGGGTAATACACTCTAAACAACGGGGAACCTAGGAACTTAGGCTCTGATACCAGGTGTTATGAGATGTACTAAGAGTGCGCGGAAGACTTTATAAAAAGGATTTCGAATCCAGGATCTCAAGAATGATAAAGAGGCATGCATTTATAGGGTCGAAACCGTGGTAGGCGAGGACCTCGGGACGTGGATGGGTTTGGAAGTGTCGCGATTGGTACGGGGCGACTCGGGGGTGGTTCGGGCCGAAGTGTAGGCCGAACCTTGAAACTGACGCGAAGTGCTCGGAGTCGTCCTCGCTAGGAGCAGCCTCTACAGTAATGAATTCGTATGCATTACAATGATGCTCGTGCTGGTATTAGTGCTGGTACATACGGTATACGGTACGTCCACACATCTGTTCCTGTGCTAATGCGTACATCAAATGTTCCAAGTCTAAACTTCCAAGTGTGCGGCAGTACTTTGTCAGTTATTCAACCATTGCACTAAGTCTCACAACAGAACCATTTTCCCTTCCCACCCTCTGCCCAGTGCAACCTAGCAGTTCAAATTTCCAGGCCCAACAGTAAATTAAAACTCAGTAACCAAGGCACCAGCATCTCTACCGGCCAGCCACCACAGGACAGTCTGCCGCCCTGTGCCCAGGTTGCTTGCACAAGAAGCAAACCCCTGAAAACCCTCCTCCCGCACCCCCGCGACCATACGACCCGCCGGGTGCGCTGCGCGTGCGCTCCAAGGGGGATGGGGTGTAGTATCCATCACTGTCCTCACTCTCCCACGCATCAGAGGTGAAATTGCGGCGGTTGACCAACCCTCCGCCAGCCGGGCGGCGATCCCGGGAGGAGAATCGGTCGCGATCTCCACCGAACCTGCTGCCGCCGCTACTGCGCCTGTCACCCACGTCACCCCAGCTGCCAGACCTGATATGGAGGAGAGAGAGAGAGAGAAGAAAGAGTAGAGGGAAAAGGACGCGGATATGAGACACGTGAGGTATCAATTTGGTTTGGTGGCAAATGCACATGGAGAGGAGTATGAAGAGGTGCAAGCAGGAGAAATGGAACAGGCAAACACAATATTGTGGCACCCCCTGCCATGGTCGCCCCGCCTCCCTTTCTCCCTGACCCCAGCACACGAGAAGCTGTCCCTTTCAACCGCTTCCCTTATAGCATACTTCAACATACCATAAAATCACACCACTTACCTCTCTCTCCTGCCGCCGTCATCGCGCCTGAAACCCCTGTCACGGTCGCCTCCTCTTCCTCCCCTGTCCCTGTCCCCTCCGCGAGAGTACCTGTCGCCTCCGCCCCTCCCCCTGTCCCCTCCCCTGGCTCCGAACCGCCCGTAATTGTCCCTGTCCCTGCCTCCTCGCACATCATCATCCACCAGCGTGGGCAGCTGAGAGGCACATGGGAGGGATGGGCAAGGCAAACAGACAGCACCGCGCAGGGGAGAATGGAACAGAAGCATGAGTTCAGGTGTCCACTTCTACCCAGACCACCTGTAGTTGTCCCTGTCCCTGCCGCTGTGAACATCATCATCCACCAATGTGGGAAGAGGAGGAGCAGAGGGCACATAGGATGGGAGATGGGGATGTAAAAGCATGAGTACAGGTGTCCCCTTCTATCCAAACCGCCCGTAGTTGTCCCTGTCCCTGCCTCCGCCCCGCACATCATCACCCACCAGCGTGGGCAGCTGAGAGGCACATGGGATGGGCGCGAAAATATGAAGGCAGAGGGAAGGGGGGAAATCAGCCTCGGCATTTTCTAGTGATACATCCCTGTCACTGCCACCACGAGCGTCAACATGTACCAGCATGGGCAGCTGACGGGGGGACGCACACACCTTGTTTTCTAATATAAGATATCAGACATATTTATTATCAACATAAGCTATCAACACAAATGCTCTTTAAGACAAAGCAGAACCGCGCACCCACCTGGCGCGGGATGTCAAAGACGTCGCCGTTGTCAATCTTAAGGCTCAGCAACTCCTTTGCCACGTCCTCTGGCAGGTCAAACACGGCTCCCTCCACCTGAAAGGAGGGAGGGCGTGACAGAGAGGGAGAAAGAGGGGATTAGAGAGAGGGAACGAGGGGGAGAGAGAGCAAGCTTGCGACAAAAATCTTGAAACTGGGCAGATCTTTGACCGCATTGTCTGGCAAGTCAAACACCACTCCCCATCCCCCGTCCTTCTAAATCCACGCACTCACATCTCGCTCGCCCAGGATCTTGATCTTCCCGACATTGTCCACCGCCCGGCAACACATGACTCCCTCCCCACCCACTCATGACCCATCCATCCCCATCCCCCAGTCCCGCCAAAACCAGCCCACTCACATCTCGCTCGCCCAGGATCTTGATCTTCCCAACATTATCAGCAGCGCGGCGGCAGATCTCCCCGAGAGTCCCCATGACCGCGCGTGGGGAGATGAGCGGGCCGTTGCGGCTCTTGGCCGTGCGGATCACGCGCACAGTCACATACCCCTCCTCGTGCGTCAGCAGCGACCGGGCGGCGGGCGGCTGGCTGAACCCGCTCAGGTGGGCGATCGCGGCAGCTAGCGCTATCGGGCCGCGCTCCTCGAGAAGCTTCTCGGCAGTTTCCAGGAAGGACTCCGCGAGTTCAGGGTGGACCCGGTTGATGAGGGCAGCGGATTGGTTGGCCGAGGCTTGAAGGACATCGTCGGGGTGGGGCGGGGAGGCCTTCTCAAACTTGCAGCCGATGTCCCGCTCTATCATGCGCAGGGACCGGAGCTGGTTGGGGGAAGGAAGGGGGAAGAGGAGGGAGAGAGGGGCATGGGAAGATGAGTGCGGCGGACTGGTTGGCAGAGGCTTGGAGCACGTCGTCCGGGTGGGGCGGGGAGGCCTTCTCAAACTTGCGACCTCCAAACTTGCATGTCCACAGGTGTGGTGCATAACATCTAATGTAGTCACATCCGTGTACATGAGGAGGATGGTGCTCCCGGTCTTGCCCGCTCGCCCCGTTCGGTGCACCAAGGCTTATGAGTCCACTAAACTCCTTACATACACAGTCCCACCTTTCACAATCACACAATCAACCTCACCTGCGAGTCCGTATACATGAGGATGGTGCAACTTTACAAGCACACGCCATAGTCACATCGGTTAGCATCACACACCTGCGAGTCAGTGTACATGAGGATGGTGCATCCAGTCTTGCCAGCTCGCCCCGTTCGCCCCGACCGATGCACAAACGTCTCAGGGTCGTTGGGGATCTCGTAGTGAATCACCTGGCCGGGAAGAAAGCACAGGGGGAATGAACGGGTGTTGGAGCGTGGGTGGGGGGGAGTGAGTGGAAGTCTAAGTTCACTGATGCACAGATGTCTCAAGGTCGTTGGAAATCTCATAGGCAGGGAGGGGGGACGAGGGAGGGGGGACGAGGGAGCGGGAGAACACAAATGACAACAATTCCGAGCCGCAGACACTTATGTGCGGCTACACAGGTATGGAGGGGGGAGGAGGGAGCGGGAGAACAAGAATGAAAACAGTTCCAAGCCACATGGAGCTTTGTCCACATATTATTTTTGGTGGCTTGGACACTTAATATCCACATGGAGCTTTGTCCTTATAAATGGAGTTCTGTCCAGAGTATCACCTCCTTCCTTGAAGCTCACTAACCATGGTTTCTTCCTCTAGGAACCTCTACGGTTCATAGACAAGCAAGCACTGTCCTTTGTCAGGTCAGAAAACCGCCCACACTCACGAGGTCAACAGTAGGGACATCGGGCCCTCTGGCAGCCACATCAGTCGCCACGAGCACCACGAGCATGAGGCCGTCTCTGAACGCCTGCAGCGTGCACTCCCTCTGCTGCTGGGGGATGTCCCCGTGCAGCACCTCACAGCCCACCGAGCGACCCAGTGCATTCCCCCTGTTCCCCCCTTTCTCCCGTGCCCCCATACCCCCTTTCAACTCACGAGGTCAACGGTAGGGACATCGGGCCCTCTGGCAGCCACATCAGTGGCCACGAGCACCACGAATCGCCCGTCCCTGAACGCCTGCAGGGTGCGCTCCCTCTGCTGCTGGGAAATGTCTCCCCGTGAAGGGCCTCACAGCCCACCGAACGACCCACGGCATCATCCCTTTCCCCCCATTCCCCTCCCTCTCCAACTCACCAGGTCGACGTTGGGGATATCAAGCCCTCTCGCCGCCACATCAGTCGCCACCAGCACCACGAATCGTCCGTCCCTGAACGCCTGCAGCGTGCGCTCCCTCTGCTGCTGGGGGATGTCCCCGTGCAGCGCCTCACAGCCCACCGAGCGACCCAGCGCCATGGCGACCTCGTCCGCGTCCTTCTTGGTTTGCGTGAAGACAATTGTCTTGCCACCCATAGCGTGGACCTGGCGGTGTGTGGGGGAGGGGGGAGAAGGGGAGGATATGGGGGTGTCACCAGCAGCGCCATGGCCACCTCGTCCGCGTCCTTCTTGGTCTGAGTAAAGACGATGGTCTTGCCACCCAGAGCATGGACCTGGGTAAAGGGAGTAATTAAGGAGGGTAGATAAGCAAATATGGAATGGAGCGCTATGTCAGGCATCCCCGCACAGCAGACATAACCTTTGATAACGTTATGTCAGGCACTGAGACGAACTCTCTCTTTGACAAACTTCCCCTTCGACTAACTCCCCCTTTGGCTGTGCCCAACACCATATCCAACCGCTCTGCACTCCTCACTACCGCATACCGTGATGCGGTCAACGAGAATGGAGCGCTTGGATGCGTTGGGCGCGCGCACGCACAGCAGGCATAAGGCTCTCCCTTTGACTGTGCCCAAAACCGTAGCCAACCGCTTTGCACTCCTCACGAACACGTACCGTGATGAGGTCGACGAGAATGGAGCGCTTGGATGCATTGGGCGCGCGCACGCACAGCAGGCGAATGCCCTCCGCGAGCTTCTCCTCCTGCTCGCCCACCTGCGAGGCACATACAGAGAGGGGGAAGGTGGGGGAATGGACGGTGAGGGGCGGGGCGAGCAGTAGACCTGCGCACGCACAGCAGGAGAATGCCCTCCGCGAGCTTCTCCTCCTGCTCGCCCACCTGTGGGTATGTGGGAAGGGGAGTCGGTTAGGGGAGAAGGGAGGGTGAGTAACGGGGTAAGCAGTGGCCCCCAACGCAAAGAGGGCGAACACGCACAGCAGGCGAATGCCCTCTCCTCGTCCTCCCCGTCCTCCTCACCCTCCTCACCCTCTCCTCCTCATCCTCCCCCTCATCCCCTTCATCCTCCTCATCCTCCTCGAACCCCACCGCCAGCATCTGATCCGCCTCGTCCAGCACCATAAACTGAATCTCCCTCACTCACTCCCTCACTCTGCCTCACTCACTCCCTCACACTGCTACGGAAGAGGAGGAGAAGGAGGGAGAGGGGGCCCATCGGGTCGATGGTGAGCGGGCTGGTGAGATACTTCCGGCTGAGTTTCTTGACCCACGACCCCCTCCACCGACTATAACCCCCTCCCACCGCACAGAACAGCTCACCAAATCGATGGTGAGCGGGCTGGTGTGGTACTTGCGGCTGAGCTTCTTAACCCAAGAAGGCATGGTCGCCGAGAACAGGCTAATCTGAATGCGCCCGCCTACACGACCCCTACCAAGGGAACCGACCTCAACCCCCTCAAACACAGGAATTGCACAGCTCAACCCACCAGGTCGATTGTAAGCGGGCTGGTTAGGTACTTCCGGCTGAGCTTCTTGACCCAAGACGGCATGGTCGCCGAGAACAGGCTCATCTGAATGCGCCCGCCTTCCGGCAAGTTCTCCATGATCCGCTCCACATCCTCCTCGAATCCAACGGCCAGCATCTGATCCGCCTCGTCCAGCACCATGAACTGGATCTCCTGCAGGCTCAGCGTGCCGCGCTCGATCAGGTCGATCAGGCGCCCGGGCGTGCCCACGACCACGTCGACGCCGCGCTTGAGCTGGCGCATCTGCGCTTCGATTGAGACGCCGCCGTACACGCACGCCGTGGAGAGGTTCGGCGCGGACTCGCAGAACTCGCGCTCCACCTGCTTGGCTAGCTCGCGCGTCGGCGCGAGGACCAGGCAGCGGGGCGCGCGGAACGGGCGCCTGTGGGTGCGGAACGGGATGAGGGGGGTTGGGGGGGAAAGGGGAAGCGGGAGAGAGGGGGGAGGGAGAGGGGTAAGAAGGGAGCATGGGTTAGTGATAGGCTGGAAAAGGAGTGCGCGAGGAGAGGAGGGGATGATAGTCATCTTTGACTCAATCTTTGGTGACTCTGCATAACTGAGGTGTTTTTTTCATCAGCCGGCAACACGTTCGTTTCGATCTAAACCGATCTGAATCTTTGTAACGAATAGACATGAAACGTGAACTTCTTCGTCTTTCTAAAGTTCTTAACCAATCAAGTACGTAAACACACGCTGTTTCATCCACTGACTGCACTAGTGAGCCGCCTTATGACGGAGACGGCCATCTTGGGACAGAGGGCAGAAAAGGAAACCAAAACAAGTAGGAAAAAAATCAAATCTAGGTTACAAACACACAAAAACAAAAACAAAAAACATAACAAAAAAAAAACTCACAACGCACATTCAGACAGCTAACAGCTAACACTTTCAAGCCACGCACCTGCCGTTGTTCTCCTCGATCTCGCGCGTGATGCGCTCCAGGATGGGAATGCCGAACGCCAACGTCTTCCCCGTGCCCGTCTTGGCGCGCGCGATGATGTCGCGCCCCTCCATCGACGGAGCCAGCACCGCGTGCTGCCATTGGCGGAGCATAAGGGGAAGGGTTTGGGACGAGGTAAGGTGGAAGAGCGGGAAGAGTGGGAGGGATGAGAGAGGTTACAGGGTAGAGTCAACTGGACACGCGCAGTGATGTTGCGCCCCTCTAATGATGGCGCAAGCACCACGTGATGCGATTACCGGAGCACGGAACTCATACTCAAAACCCGTCAAACCCTCAGCCGCGATTGCATGAAAGGCGGACAAACAACGGGCATACTACGAATGAAAACGATCCAACTGGATCAAGATGAATGCCCAGACTGATCTTTAGGTCATACCTGAATGGGGAAGAGCCGTGCGATTCCTCGCTTCAGCAGCGACTGCTCAAGAATTGTCGCGAGGCCGAGGCTCTCGATCGCTAGCTCATCCCTGTCCACGTCAGTATCGGACACGTCAACCAGCACCACCTCTCCCTCCTCGTCGCTGCTCCCCTCATCCTCGCTATCAAAAACCTCCGCTTCCGAATCGGATGTTAAACCCCGAGGAAACTCCCGCCCAACCCCTGAACCCGCAGATGATCCGCTCTTGGCGCGGGCCTGGTACAGCGCCTCAAGCGCGCGTGAACCAGAGCCGTCGGATTCGGAATCGGACGACGAGGATTCAGAAGACTCATCAAGAGTGTACTCCGATGTCGGCAGCACTGCACCCTGGCGGACGGCGGGAGTTGCGCCAGCGACAGCGGAGCGGGGGGCAGAGGCGGAACCGATAGGGCTTGCGCTCGCGGAGGAGTCGGAAGAAGACGCGTGCGCGGAAAAGGTAGACGCGAGACGCGTCGCAGCTCCGCTTGGGTGCGATGATAACAACGAGTCCCGAGAAAGACCGCCTGAGAAGAAAGATGAACTAGAGAAGGGACTTGCCCGTTGCGATTGGCTTCTGAGAGTCGACGACCATTGCAGGCAGGTGAAAGAGCCCGAAGCGTGCGCGCCGTGAGTAGCGGCGTTGTTTGCGGCCAGCAGGGCTGCCTGAGTGGCTTCTATGGAGGTGGCGGCGCGGGAAAGGCCCCGTGATGCGACGGACGCTCCCCGTGAAGCGATCGCCGTCGTAGTCGCAGCGGATGAGGCGACTGCCATCGCTGCGCGGCTGCGACGGTGGAGGAGAATATATTGGCGTGAAGCCACGGTGAACCTTTCACTAGAAGGTTTCAGCACAGCCTCTTTTGCGAAGCCCGATTGACAAACTTTCGGAGTGTGTAAACACCGGCAGGTGTTTAGAAGCACACAGAAACTCCTCTCTGCAAACTAATTCTTTCACTGATACCGCGTAAGGTAAGCTCCGAGGATGCGGAGCACAAGGACGGAGCTTGAGCTGAAAGAGTTACTGGCAGAAACCTCGACAGTCGAGGCACGGAAACTAGAAAAGAAGGATTGTGACGGATGGGTTTCGATATTTAGGAAAGCGTGATGGGAAAAACGGGAAGCAGATGGGGTAAGGGGAAGCGACGAGTCTCAGAGGAGGACGTGGCCTCGAGATTACTTTCTGGGGCAGGTTTCGATTCAAACATACCTTCGCTCACTCTAGTAGCACGCTTCGGGCTGCCCAGTTGCGGCTTTTGATCAAGCATCAGTGGTGCCCAAATGCCTGCGCTAGCAAATTCCTGAAGGTCGACATGGCATAGCTCAACCAGTCCCCTCCGTCCTCCTAGGAAAATTGCGGAACCGCTTGTCAGCCTACGCCGCGTGGCAACTTGAATATCCCAGCATGACCGCCGCGGTCAGCGAAGGCCAGCAAGTGAAGCTAGTGGGCATCCGATTGGTCGACGAATTTCATGGATTACGCACGGGCAGCAGTTGCTTCTCCCGAGAGCGTCTTGTGTGGCTGAAATTCTCGAGGAGCCTGGCTTAGGCACGGGAATCAAGCGAAACGGAGACGCGCAAGCCCTGGCTGCCACCACGTCGACGAGCCGACATGTAGATGTTCCACGTCACTATCTGTTTCACGAATATGGGTCTGGTGTAGATTGTTAGCATAAAACTAAAACAAAAGCAACTGATTAACACCCACTACCATCCCCAAGGTACCGTAACACCCCAATCTGTTCAGCCTGTTTCTTGTCCAGTCTACCTGCTAGATGTATTCTAGATCATCAAACCTCTTTAGGCTTTATTCGTGTAGGTAAAAATCAGTTCATGTGACAGTCAAAATGCACCAATCCATGTGTGGCTGGCTGATTTCCAACCTGGTAGTACCATCCCACATTCTTTTCCAAACACTGCCAGACCAACCAGCTCATCGTTGTGCCGCAGCTGCCACTGTTGCTGCTCCAGCTGGTGCCTCCACGAACACGGATGTCTGTCAAAGCTATTTACCAGCCAGCACAAGCCCGAATAACCTCCTTCCCACACCTCCTCCCCTCCTCCACCCACCCCTCTCCCCGTCTTGTTTAATTGGCCAATCACATCGCAGCAGTTTCTACTGATCAAGCACATTAGGCATGTGCCGCATCGGCGAATTGAGGCAAAAACAATCAAACCCAGCAGCAGGTAGCAGCAGGTAGCGGCTCCTTGACTCTACACACAACTCAAACACCATAACCAAGCCCCATACCAGACTCTGCATTAGCTGCTGAGACGCCCCACCCTCTGCAAACCACCCAATCACCTTATAATGGTTAATTTGCAGAGCGAATGTCGCAAACAACCCCATCACCAGCCTCCCAAGCTTCCAAGCCTACGTTTGACCAACCCTTGCTGCACTCTCCGAGCCGCCTAAAAAAACCAAGAACCTACTCGTCCCACCACCTGTCTCTTGAAGCTAATGGAGTCACCAAATCAGCTTGTCATGGCTGCTCTGCAGCTTGAATGCCTTTTTCAGCCCATCCCCAGCACTCTATTGAACCCCCCACAGCAAAAATGTCCCTTCTCCAACTTCTGCGATCCCAATCCCCCCAACAGCTCAACCAATCAGCTTGTCATGGCTGCTTTGCAAATTGAACGTCCTTTTCAGCCCCCTAGCCAGCCTCCCCAGGGCCCCCGCTCAGCCCAGCTCCGATCGCGCCGCCAGCTGGCCGCCCGCCATTGGGCATGGACGTGTTGCGGGTGAACAACCTTCCTGCCGCCTGTGCCGGAATGCCCACGTATACCCGGTCCATCAACCGCAACCCCTGCATGCCAAAACCCTCGACCCCCAAACCCCAACCCTCTAGCCCCCCCTCAGAAATCAAATCAAATCACCCTCACCCAATCAGTTTATCATGACTGCTCTGCAGGTTAAACGTCTTTTTTAGCCCCCGAGCCAGCCTTCCAAGCCCCCCGCCAATCCCAGCTCCGACCGCGCCGCCAGCTGGCCTTCCCCCATTGGGCATGGACATGTTGCGGGTGAACAACCTGCCTGCCGCCTGTGCCGGCATGCCCACGTACACACGGTCTATGAGCCGCGACCCCTGCATGCCAAACCCGGACCCTGACCCAGCAGTGGAGAACGAGCGAGCGTGATCGATTGGTGGCTGGTTCAGCCTACTCCTAGGAGTCATGGCACCTGCTGCAGCTCCCCCTCCTCCTCCTGCTCCTGCTGCCCCCCCCCCTGCCCCCGCCCCTCCAACTCCTCCTCCTACTCCACCAGCACCGCCACCAGCAGCACCGCCGCCAGACCCATCCCCTCCGCCGCCCTTCCCTTCTTTCACAGCAGCGGCAGCAGCAGCCATGGCCTGGGCCTTCGCCGGCCCCACCAGCACCCCTACCGACGCCAGCTGAGATGCAATCTCCTCCTCCCAAGTCAGCCCAGACGGGGCCAAATTCCCCACCTGTCCCCGGATCTTCTCCCCTTCCCACGTCCCCCCACCGTCCTTCCCTCCCGAACGCCCCACCTGTACAGACCAAGCAGCTCTGGCTCGGGCTATCAGTCCGCTCTGGGCCGGGTTTCCCTCGCCTCCCCCTCCCTCTCCCCCTCCCGCTGCGGCTGCGTCATCAGGGGAAACCTTAGCACCAGACATGGCAGGGCTCTTTCGTCCAGACTGTTGTCCCGAGGGAACCCGGTTGCTGCTCCCGCTGTTCCCACTAGCTCCAGTCGGGCCCTGGCCGAACCCAGGCGTCTGCCTGGGATGCGGGCTGGTGAAGATGATCGGTGCAGCAACTGCCTGAACGATCTTCTTGGGGATGTTGAACACGAAATCCTCCCCGTCGTCGTCGTCGCCCGTCCCGTTGTTCCCAGACCCCGGCTTGCGAATGGTGAACACGAAATCGTCGTCGTTTTCATCGATTTCCTCCAGAGCGCTTTTGAGCCGGGCTGTGCCGCTGCCTTCGGCTGCCATTACAAAATCCGGAGCCTGATCTTCCTTGGTCAGAAACTTCTTAGGGGCACCTGGATGGAGGATCAGGATGAGTCGAGCCGGGACCACCCCTCGGGAGTTCACCACCCATGATTTCATGGTCGTTTCGAGGGTTTCGCGGGCAGCTTCGGGCAGGTCGGAAGGTTTTGTGGGGGGGGAGGGGGTGGAGGCGGAGGAGAGGAAGAGGTTTCGGAGGGCTGTGAGTTTGCTGCGCGCTTCTTTGCGAGTGAAGCACTCGTATGCGGCTATGGAGAATATGTAACCTTGGTAGATGTGGAATAGGAACATCACTTGATCAAAGCCCTGCAGACGTAGAAAAAAAAAGGGAAACGGGGGGGGGGGAGGGGTTGCAGGGGCAAGTGCAATGTGAAGCACTGGTACGTTGCTATGGAGAATATGTATCCCTTGGTAGACGTGGAATAGGAACATCACTTGATCAAAGCCCTGCAGACATGGAGAGGAAGGTGTTTGGGAGGAAGGAGGGAAGGTGGAAGAGGAGTGGAGGGGGGTAGGGGGGGTGGGGAAGGAGAAGGGGGGATGAGGGGAAGGGTCAAGTGCAGAAAGAGTTTTAGAAAGAACGAGCAAACTCGTATGGGGCTTTGGAGAATATGTATTCTTGGTATTTGTGTAAGAGGAACACCACTTGGTCAAAGCCCTGCTGTCATGGAGAGGACAGTGGTTGGGGGGAAGGAGGGAGGGGGAGAGGAGTGGAGGGGGGAGGGGGGAAGAGTGCGGGGGGCAAGTGTCAAAAGAGTTTTAGGAAGAATATTGCACTCATGTGCAGCTATGGAGAATATGCATCCTTGGTGGATGTGGAATGGGAACATCACTTGATCAAAGCCCTGCAGACATGGAAGGGAAGGTGGTCGGTAGGAAGGGAGGAATGGGGAGCAGGGGTAGAGGGGGGGAAGACGGGTGGGAGGAACGGGGAAATGGGAGAGAGGGGTGAAGGGCGGGCGGAGAGGGGTGGGAGGAAGGGGGAAAAGGGGGAGAGGGGTGGAGGTTGGGGAGAAGGGAATGGGAAAAGGGGAAGGGGTTCGGAATTGCGGACTTTTATAATCCCCAAGTCTGTAGCCGTGTGTGGTTCCGCAAGATAAGCAGGAAGGTATGCATGATTAAGGTGTTATTGAGAATTCTCAAAAACAACCTGCAGCATCAAGGTACGCATGATTAGGGTGTTTTTGAGAATTCTCAAAAACACCCTGCAGCATCAAGGTACGCATGATTAGGGTGTTTTTGAGAATTCTCAAAAACACCCTGCAGCATTAAGGTACGCATGATTAGGGTGTTATTGAGAATTCTCAAAAACACCCTGCAGCATCAAGGTACGCATGATTAGGGTGTTTTTGAGATTCTCAAAAACACCCTGCAGCATCAAGGTACGCATGATTAGGGTGTTTTTGAGAATTCTCAAAAACGCCCTGCAGCATCAAGGTACGCATGATTAGGGTGTTTTTGAGAATTCTCAAAAACACCCTGCAGCATCAAGGTACGCATGATTAGGGTGTTTTTGAGAATTCTCAAAAACACCCTGCAGCATCAAGGTACGCATGATTAGGTGGTACATAAACAACTCTGACAAAAAAAAAGAAGTAACTTATGTGTACAGAGGAGGAATATAGAGACGTATAAACGCTTCAATGCAAACTAAACAGGCAACAGAAATCAAGGACCAGCGGACGGGATATGCATTTTGAGAAGAGGGTAGCAAAAAGCAAGGACCAGCCCGACTGGGTTGAAACGCGAGGATGAAGGTGGGGAAGAGGGTAATTACAGGAGCTGCCTATGAGAATTCGAAACGAATGGAATCAGACGGTGCGTCATGAAAACAAGGAGAGAAACAAGGCGAACGACAAGGCGAGAAACAAAGCGAGCTGACATACCCAGGAGAACCATTGCATGTTGTGAGGGACCTTCGTCAGCGTTTTGCGAAGGAGTTCGTCGAATTCGCTGAACGGGCTGTGGGCGAGTAACAAATCAGTGCCGTGGGAAATGCCGAGACCCATTATAAGATCCGCAACCTTCGCCATGCTGCCAACTCCCCGTTAGGATCCGCAAAATCCGCTCTTCTTCTAGCGGGTATATGTATTTGACTGGCGGAAGAGACGATTATAGTATCTGATCGTTGTTTGCCTAAGGCTGCACCATTATATGCACTATAAATTACACGAATTAGCTTCGGATTATAGGCGCTCTAATCTGCCGCCGCCGGAACGCGATAAACTATTTCCGAAACTGCCGGATGACTACGATTTAATCGTAACAGTTCATCGCACGACATCGGAGGACTCAGCAGACGCAACCCGGAATGAAGCGCGTATATCTGTGGAACGAAAGGCGCCTCGCGAGTGTATTGACTGAAACAAAAGGGTCACTATTGAGCCATACGGTTGCGAAAATCATTGACGCGTCGCCCCTAGTGCTCACACTTATCAACTTGCCAGAAACGTGTTCCGAGTACCGCCAGTTAGAGACTGTTGAGATGAATTTGCAATAAGCAGTAGAAACGAGCTTAAAAACCGTGGCCGAATGTGTTTGAAAGTCGACGATTACGTCAGCTTTGCATGCGTGGCCAGCTAAAAACGTTGACAGACGGTTTTACCCGCGAATGACGAGTCTCCGTCGCACACGACGAGAAAAACGTTGGGAAGGTCAGGGCAGTGGCGAAAGGTAAATAACATACCCCCCCAAGGCAGCACATTCACACAGGCTGACACTCACGACCACGCTGAGACGACCAGCAAGGAATCATGAAGGAAAAACTAAGGCTGTCTGAGGTAGGTGGAGCTTCGTTAACACTTCAGCAATGGGGGGACGAATATGTCTGCCAGCCTTCGTGATTTCTGTTGTAATCCATCCCCTGGTCTGTTACTGTCGTTCATCAAACGCACGGGCACTCCAAAATAGAGCTATCTGAACAGGTATTGAAGTTTACAGAACGTTGAACTGCGGTACGTGGTTCTGTTGCGTCTCCAACCTCTCCATCAGTGATGTGCTTCCTCCCTTGGGAATTGTCAACCACTCGATTCGAAGTGAATTCTCGCAATGATTTGAGTGGTGCAGGTTTGGGGTGGTGGTGAAGTACTGTAAGGAATTTTCTCAGGCATTCCTTACGGAGCCGACTACATCGCGTACAGCAACAGCCGACTGTTCGCCCGTTACTGCTAACGGAACTTCGCCGACTTCGCGCGCACTGTTTTGCCAAACCTCGCACTGCTGGCATGGCCGTATCGGCCTACGCTTCGGGACTAGCCCGAGCCTCGCTCCAGCGTAGCACTAGCAAGTTCGCACGCACCGCGTTACCGTTTTGCATGTTTCGCGTATAAATGCTCGCTCATGCCTTCGCTCACATTTTGTACTCGTTTGACACCTTAGTGCAATTCTCGCTACCTCGATTCATTGCACCCGTAACACTTGGTTATCAGAGCCCCTTTCTTTCGGACCGCGCATCTCCGCACACCAGGAAATCAACTTTTGATTTTTCACTCGAAGGGACTCACGCACCTTAGCCCCTAGGAGCCGCTGTCCTCGCGTTCTCTCGTAAACGCGTGCAGCCACGACTGCGCCTAGACTAAGACGAGCCGACGCCCTTCGTCATGGCCGAAAACATCGACGTCACCACTCTCACGCAGGAGCGTTTGAACGATCTGCTGCGACAACTGCACGAAAGCTCCGAGGAAATCGCGGCATTGACGGCAGAACGCTCATCACTGCAAAATGACCTCATGAGAGCACAATCCCAAGCACCTGGCACTCCGATTCAACCTGCACCCTCAACATCACAACACGGGAGTGTGGGGCAACCCGCGAGCGCGGCCAGTGATGGCGTCGTCCGCCCCGACGGAGACGACGACCATGGCACGACACACCCCAGAGCGACGCCTGCGGCCCCAAGTCAGCCTCGCGTCACGATTTCGGCACCAACCCACGATTCGGGACTGCCGTCACCGATGCCGCTGAAACCGCAGCGCCCGCCATGCTTTGACCCGAGTCAACGGGGTGGTCCTACCGTTCAGGCGTGGTTATTCACAATGAATGTTTTCTTCGACGCCAACTACGTCTCGGAGGACTCGGCGAAGATTCGATACGCCGTGTCGTTGCTGCGAGGACCCGCCATGGACTGGTGGCGCGTCATCGTCACGAAGCCGACCGACTACGCGACACTACCGACACGGGAAGGACAAACCGGACCCTGGGCGCCGTCGTATTTCGTGGAGGTGCCCCAGTATCGCACGTGGGACGCGTGGTGCGCAGGTCTGCGCGCTCGATTTGAGCCAATCGCGGCCTCGATCTCGGCGCGACAGAAGCTCCGCACTTGGCGCCAACTCGGTTCCGTCCAGGATTACACGAGCGGATTTCTGGCGCTATGCGAGCAGGTGGGCTACATGCATGAGAGCGAACGCATCGACCGCTACATCGGCGGCCTGAAGCAGGACATCGCTCAGGAAATCCAGCTTCGCGGCGTCACTGAGTTTCAGGAAATTCTCGCTATGGCGGAGAAGCTCGACTTCTTTCGCCGACCGAGACCGGGGTCCTACGGAAACAACACCTGGGGACATCGGCCTCGTGGGACGAACGAGAGCGCCACGATACGCGCCGTCGCCGCAAATGCCGCTGCCGCACCGTTCAAAGGGCGCTGCTTTGCGTGCAATCGGCCGGGACATCGCAAGAGCGAATGCCCGGAAAACGCTAAGGGAAAGGGGGAAGCTGAGCAGCAGACACAGACCAAGCAGCAGGGAAACGCTGGAAGTCAGTAGCAGACGGGCCCTCTACTGACAGGTCACGCCGCTCGCCCGACCCAACCGACCCTCACCGAGTGATTGTGCCGGTTCACGCAATCGACCACACCCGGCCGAATAAGGAGGGTACCACGGTAGATAGCCCTATACTGCTCAGTGGGAAAATTGGGACGGACTTAGTTAAAATCTTCGTAGATGGGGGAGCCAGCCACAGCCTCATTAACACTGCTACAGCACGAAAAT